CCCCAAAACCCCAAAACCCCAAAACCCCGCAGTATAGATTTTATTTAGTTAAGGATGAAGAATTAATTTTTTAAAGATGAAAAAGAGTTAATCTGAAAACAAATTATCGTTCCTAAAGAAACTCATAATAGGATCCCATGCCTAGAATTAAAATATGAACAAGTCAAAATTGTTTTTAATCTCTCCATCATAGCTAATTTCATAAAGTACAATATAGGATTCTTCCTTAATCAATGGCTCAAATTTCAACGATTATGATCGATCAGAGGACGGTGATTCAATAATTGAGTAAAAATTGAAGGTTAATTAAACAAGCAACCAAAGTTAGAGTCTTATTGCAGAAAATAATCAAAATGGAGAGAAGGATGATAATCAAAAATTACCTCAGCTAACTATGAGCCAAACATATGCTAAGCCTTCAATCGAAGTTGACTTCATAGATCCGATGAAATACAGATATTCAGATGATAAGCCTTTTCCATTAAAGCTCCTCAATTCCAATCACATATTTGAAGCACTAGAATTCTTGAAGTATGATTACTCTAAGTATAACAGGTATATAAAAACTATACTTATTCATTTAAATTTTAGAATAGAAGCAATATGTAAGACTTTACTGTTTAGGAAAATCTATGTTTACTTGTTCTGGATTTACTACTGTGTTAAATTTTAGAATGACTTGATCTCCTAATTTGCAGTTGTAATTATCGATAACTTAAAAAAGTTTAGAAAAAATTAAGAGAAAAGCTTAAGACTAAGTATATGAAATTATTCATTCTAACTTAGCCACCAAAAGATGACTTATTCGAAGTGTTTCCATTCATATTGGGGAAGGCAATATACTTAACAATTGAAAAGCATTTAAAAAATGGAAAATTAATACTAAATGGTGATGATATCGAACAGGACCTGTTTTAATAAGTTCACTAAGAAGTTAATGGATTTACAATGTCAAAGATTTACTTGACTAAAAATCTTAGAAAATATCTTCATCCTTAAACCCCTCAAGGATATAACACTCATAGATAATCGACAAATCTTGCACTGTAAATGGGAGATGGATTGCCTATACAGCCTAACTCTGGTAGAAGAATACCAATGAATCATCAAACAAGTGGACTAGCTTTAGATTAAATAAATTCTAAGAAACCATTCTCTAAGAGAACAACATTAAATCCTTAAGATTCAAGTAAAGAATTAAATGCTTTTAAGAATCAGCTTAAGAAGATTTTGCTAAATCCTTAGTAAGATAAGAGGAAAAATCCAATAAGAGATAGTCAAGCATCTTAAAACAAAGGTGAGTAAAAAAATTCCCCTTCAAGAAACAAGACTAACTCTTGGCAATGGTTTGGCTCAACCACTCTAAATTCAAATAATGACTAATATTCAATGATGAGTATGACATCAAGGTATAATAAATTTGAGACCAATAAACTTTCCCCTATGTTCACATCATTCTACTCTACTAATTCATTCACTAATCCTCTCCCAAATAAAAATATTACTCTTAAGAAACACATTACTTAGTAAGATGATAGACCAGAGTCAAACTTTGAGATTTTGCTAAGAGCTTATAAAAATGAAAAGATTGAGGAGATTGAAGAGATGAAGAGAAACAACAATTTGCATTTATTAAGCAAAGGCAACCTAAGAGCTTTTAAAAATATAGCTGGAAAAGAACTCCAAGCAAGAAATACTACTGAAGTTGTAGTTAAGAGAAAACAGAGAAAATGGGTAATTGGAGAGCAGATCTCAAGTGATGGAAATATTATGACGTCCCCAGGTTTGTAAAAACTAATTGAACTGAAGCATGCTGTCGATAGATTACCTACCAACTTCAACTTTGAAAAGAAAATCCTAAGGTCTAGTGTACCTAAAAGAATCATCTAAGATATCGGGTCTTAGTATTCTGAAATAGCTGACAAACTGCTTCCAGAATATAGAGATATTCTTCTGTAAGCCTAGAGAGAGAACTAAATGATTCAAGAGACTCAAGCTAAAATGGCAGATGGAATTTCAACTGATATCAATGAGAATGTTCAAAGGAAACTTATGCAGGATAAATATGAGAAGAAAATGAGAATGATTTTGAAGCGTAAAAATGAGAGAGATCTTAGAAGGCAGGTAGAACTCCAAAAAGAATAAATTCAGAAGGAGAAAGAGTTGTAGAAAGTTAATCTCGATCCACTTGAAAATTATCAAGCAATAATACCCTCCCCTTATATCAAAGAGCAGGATGTCGAGTTCTGGTTTGAAAATATATTCCAAGAGTATACAGATGACAACAATAAGAAAAAGCAAAATATAAACTATAAACCTGAAAAGAACAAAAAGTATGATCCCAAATAGGCTAGTATAAGCATGAACAGTGATGGAAAGACTAATCCTTTTGGAAACAAAAGGAATCATCATTACCATGATGACTCAATGAAATCTAAGGTTGAGAGAAGTTTTAATGAATTTTTCTAAAGATAAGAACTTAAATTCAACGGAGGTGAGACACCTAGAGAACTCAAAGTGCCTATTCCTGATAGCAGTAGGTCATAGAACTATTCAATTGCCTAAGAAGATAATAAGAATCAAGATGATGAATAAAATGAATTATTATCAATGTCTGATATGTAGAATGAGAAGGAAGTAATAAGTCAATACGAGCAAAATGAAGATATTTAAGAATGAAATTAATAACTAATAATTTTTCTAATCTCATTAATTCTTCCATAGCGATATGTTGGGGTTTTGGGGTTTTGGGGTTTTGGGGTTTTGGGG